ATTGGTAAGTTTTAGTTAATTTGCTAAACTACTAGCAAGTTAACTGTTAATTACCTCATAAAGGATCAACATTTTTGATATGTTCAGTTTTAGCTTAAGTTAAGCTTAAACAACATTTGTCTAATTTAGATTAGCAATGCAAATTTGAAAGGATCTGTCCAATAGGAAGAGGGGATATTTGAGTCTGAAAGTCAGACTTAGAAATGACCTAAGTGGGGAGTCAAGATAAAGGGCCTGAAGCCAATGTGGCTGGAACACTGAGCATTCAAGCATTTGGGCATCAGGTAGAAAAGAGAATGCTTTTGAAAGGGGCAGTAAATCCTAGGTTCAGTGGAATGGTATAGAAATTAGCTGCTGGATTAGGATGATGACTGCTTGTCTTAGTTAGGGTTACTATTGCTGCGAAGAGACACCATGACCATGGCAACTCTTATAAAGAAAATATTTAATTGTGGTGGCCTGCTTACGATTCAGAGGTTCCGTCCATTATCATCTTGGTGGGAGCATGGTGGTGTGCAGGAAGATGTGGTGCTAGAGAAATAGCCGAGTGTCCTACATCTTGCAGGTAACAGGAATGGAACCTAGATAGCTGTGCTAGAAGGCTTATTCTACACAAGGGGGAGTTTTATTTTCCATAGAAGCTGAGATATCTTTAATAAGAGAATGACCACCACAAGTGACTCCCAGGCCACACTGAAAGTAAAAACCAGAGGAGCAGTGTTCCAGGAGTTCTAGAGAAAGTGACTTGACCTGGAATTCAGAACCTCTGAAAGTGTCAAGTATGAGGACAGAAAAGGACTTGGGGCTCCCCTTCCCTAAGCGGCACATAGAGCATTTCCTCTCTAACATAAATAGAGCATCTTCTCCCCAAGCTTTACATAGAACTTCATACATAGAGCTTCCCCTCGCTAAACTGTACAGCCCTTTTAAGGATATGACCAGTATATGATTACGGGAACTAATAAAGATGACCCCATGAACTGGAAGATCTGGTGTGGTCAGGACTGATGGTGCCATTAGAACAGAAGTGTTCTCAGGTTAGAACGTAACCGGGTTACATCAGGGTAGGAAACACAAGGATAATGCCAGAAGAAGAATGGTGTGGATTCAGGCTATTGTTAGCATAAAAGCTGGTATTTGTAACACATGTAGTAACAATCATGCATTTTCAAAACTCTCAGCAAGAAAAAGCCAATTAAATGCTCTAAAATAAAAGGCTGTAAAATTAGCACATAGCTGAATGTTGAGGCCATTTTCTAAAATGAAGAGTGAGTTAAATCCTCATGATTCAAAGATAGTAATTCAGGTAATGGTATACAGTAGCTCCTTTTGTCCTTTGGGAATATGTTCTTCAACCCTCATCAGATACCTGAAATTGAGGATAGTGAAAAACTCTGTACTATGTTTTTGCCCAGTTTATATGCCTAGGCTAAAATATACCTAATGAGCTAATCATTATGAATAACAGTATTAACTAGAACAATTACAAAGTACTATAATAAAATTATGTAGATGTCTTTTTCTTGAAGTATCTTGTATGATGGGTTTTAGTCTCTTTTTCTTTCTTTCTTTTTCTTTTTTGGGCTTGAGAGATGGCTCAGCAGTTAAGAGAGCACTGGTTGCTTTTCCAGAGTACTTGGGTTCAATTCCCAGCACTCACAAGGCAGCTCACAACTGTCTGTAACTCCAGTTCCAGGGAGTCTCACACCCTTACACCAATGCACATCAAATAAAATTAAATAATTAAAACAAAAGAACTTTTCAACTTTTCCACTTAACAGCAGATTGGCAACTTTTTATATAACCAAAGTGCAATGTCACTATTAGTGGGCCATTGCTAAATACAGTACAGGTTGCAGTGGGGCTGACCTGATTACCAAGCCAGCCATTACACAAGTAGTGATCAGGTAGCATGTGCAGTGTGGATACGCTGGGTAGACAGGTGATTTACCCCGCAAGCTGCACAAAGTGGAATGACATAGACCGTACTGTGGTGCTATGAACAGTGGCAATTTAGAAGTTGTGTGTTCTATCTGCAATCTCCCATTTAATAATTTTGGACCCAGTTGACCATGGATGAAGGGAGACTAAGCATAAAAGTATAACCCTTTAAAATACTTGTTATGGGGTATAGGAGTTGGATAATGGGGTGTAACTGAAAGTACTTGGGAGGAGGGAAGAATGCGCTTCTGTGTATTCTTCCCCTTCGCCAAGAATGGCTGATGGCACCCTGATGGTCTAGATGGGTGAGGCCAGGGAGCTGCTTCTGGTATGCAGATAAAAAATAGAATGCATCTTCATCTTACATAATCAACTTTAACATTATTGATGTTTAAATGGAAGGTAATTATTGATGTGATAGTTACTTAAAACAGTTCTTTAGCACTTCCTATTAATAGACTCACTGGGTGGATGACAGAGGGGACAAACGAGGCTGGTAATTATTTTTGCTGTGTGTATGTGTGTGCACATGAGGGGACCAGAGGTTGCCATTGTGTGTTCCTCAGTTGCTCTTTACCTTACTGTTTGAGAACCTGGAGCTCACCGTTTTGGCTACACTGGATGCCTAGTAAGCCTCAGGGATCCTCCTGCCTCTGCGGCTCCAGTGTTGGGATGTTGGAATGGTCCAAGAATGGTTCTGTGAGAGGAGAATTCTAAGTACTTGTGATAAAACTCCAAGAAAAAAAGACACGAGTATTGTGACCTCAGTTTCTTCAAAACACAGAATTGTTTTGGGAATGTGCTTTTGTGCTCCCCCCAGGTGTAGCAGATAGTGAGTTTACTTCGGATTATTTATTGCAATTTGCTATTGTGTCTGTGGCTTATGGAAAAATGTTTTTACCACGTGCAGCTTGTCCTTGTGATTGTATACTTACGTGAGTCTTTTCACCCTCAGAGTATAAATTGTCTGATGCTCTGAATAAAGCTGGCTATTGAATGAAGCTTTAGTTTGCCTCATTTTAGCCAGCTGGAGAGGTAGACACTGGGAATACTGGTATATGCCACTGAAACCAGCTCTTAAAATGGGAGTCAGGACCCAAACTCAGGTCATAAGACTTTGCATGGAAAACCCTTTTCTGACTCAGTCCTCTTTCCAGACTTGATTTGTGTTTTGTTTTTCTATTTTGCCATTAGAATTGTTGATTTCAGATCCATTAATGAATTTTTAACAGCCTGAGATTGGCAGGCACTAATACATCAGACTAAGATCAAAGTATTGGTGGAGATAAAGGTCAGCGGTAGAGTGTGTACTTAACGTGCAAGGGCCAACATTGCCTCCATTCCTCGCTCTCCCGCTCCCTATGCATTCAGAGTAGCAGTGGTCGCAGGAAAATGAAGATGTTTCCTTCACCACCCTGTTCACACAGTTGCCAACTCTTGGTGACCTTCCCTCTCTGTGCTTCTCTGGGCTATTCTGAAGCAAACCTCAGACATCGCTTAATTTTATTTTGAAGTATTTGAACAAATGTCTTTAAAAGGTGAAGATTCATAAAGTTCATAACAAATACAAATGGCACGATTGCATTTCACCCAAAGCCCACAGTAATTCCTTAACATTAATACACAATTCGTGTTTAAGTTTGCTCAGTTGTCTTACGTTCATTTATAGATGTTGTTTGAGTTACAGTAGAGATGGTGTGCACAGGTTGTGATCTGTTGTTGTTGCTTTATACTCACTACACAGGCAGCCTCTTCACAGTTTATTCTCCTTGCAGTTTGTTCATGACAGTATTTTATTGTACAATTGACATAGCCTGCATTTCCCATAGATTGCACTGAACACCGGGCAGGAGGACAGACGACTTCAGAGTGTCTTCGCAGGAGGTGCGTGTCTGCGTGTTTCTTTCCTGTGTTGTTCTCACCATTAATGGTCATCACTTTGTTTCCTTGTTTTATTAGTGGTTGTAAAATGTCAGACTTCTAATCTTGATTTTAATATTTCCTTTTCCATTATTTGCTAAAAATGATTTTATAAAGAAATGTTTTATTTCTTGTTAGTTTGAGGGACAGCTTTGGCAGCATAGGCAAGGTAAATGCCTGGTTCCCCCGGAGGGTCTTGCAAAGGTTGTTTGGAGATTTATTTAGTGTCTCATGAATTTCTGGGCCAATATATTTCTTGTATTAAAAATTCCTTGCTTATATAATCTTTATGAATGATGAAAGTGTTCAGTCTTTGACCATTAAGAACTTCTTCAAGGTGGCACATAAGCCCTTTCAGAATCTCTCAGCATCATCTCATGACGTCTTTGCTTTCTAAAATACCCAAACCTCTGGATTCTTCAGTTGAGCTTATGTGCCTCCTTCAGACACTGCATGAGACAGCTGACAAGGCAGGGATATTTAGATACAATGTGTGGGTATGTTGGCCTAGCTTTTTTCTTGTTTCTAGGATTTCTCAGTGGATATAGATATTAAATAGTTTTTTTAAAAAAAAACTTAAAAGATAAAAGTTACCATACATTCATGTTGATGCTTCTGTCTTGGATTTTTTACTTAAAAATGTTAGCGCTCAGCTGAGCAGTGGTGGCACACACCTTTAATACCAGCACTCAGGAGGCAGAGTCAGACAGATCTCAAGAGGTCAAGACCAGCCTGGTCTATAGAGCAAGTCCTCAGGGCAGCCAAGGCCACACAGAGAAACCCTGTCAAAAAAAAAATGTTAGAGCTCATATAAGCAGATTTTTGTTTTTATTTTGTTTTTTTTTTTCTGTATTAGAAATTCCAGTGACCAAGTAGTACAACAGCTCCCAACTTGCTTTGTCCTTGCTACATGTGTTGGTCTGAGGGTAAGAGAACCAACAAAGATTGCCCGACCAGCCTTTCACATTGTTGTCATTTGATTTTGTTACATATTTAAAACATTTTACTGTGTGTGTATGTGTGTGTATATATGTCTGTGTGAGTGTGTGTGTGTATGTGTGTGAGTGTGTGTGTGTATGAGTGTATGTGTGTGTGTGTATGTGTGTGGGGGTGGGTGGGTATGTGAGTGTTCAGAGGACAACCTCACATGTCCTTGCATTCTACCCTTCAAGTTGTGTTTTAAAGTAATTTTAACTGGTTACTTAATGTTTTTGTCATTTTACCTCATTTATTTAATTTCTCCTGCTTTATAGGATTTGTTCTAAAAATCTAAGATTCCCCAAATCATCAAGTCCAGTTTGTAAACAGGTACAACAGAGGCTGTGCCCACCACTGACCCTGAATTCTGCCCCCCTTTCTCAGTAGCTCTTTTTCAGTAAGAAAACCACCTGCACGTGTTGCTTGTAAAATTTAAACGCATTAAGACTAAATACACGTTTTCTCTCGTCACCCCAGTGACATTTTACGTGCTGTTACAGGGAGCCGTTGACCTCATAGAGCAGACTGTAGAACTCCGCTGGCGTGGCTGAGAGTTCCACTGCCCGGCCTACCTCCAGAGAACGCGTTTCTTTAAACATTTGCTTTAGCCTCGTACTTTTTTTTTTTTTTTTTTTTAAAAAGTAAAGGTTATATATTTTTCCTGTCGTGTCACAAAATACCCGAAGCTGAGTACTTACAAAGAAGAAAGGTTTATTAGCTCACAGTTTAGTGATTGGGAGCCCAAGATTGGGCAGCTGCTCTTCTTTGGTCCCCTGTGAGGACCTCATGGCAGATGATGGAAGCCCTTGGTGGTGGAGATCACATGGTGAGACAAGAAGCGTGGAATTCAGGGGCTGGACCTGATCCATGGCCCCCACATGAATATAAGGTCTCTGTTTTCTGTGTTAGAGAAGCTCTTGACCACCCCTTTATTGAGCTGGATCCCACCTTTTTATTTTACTTTGAGAATGAGCCTTTCCCACTTACACAGGCTGCTCTAGAATTCATGATCTTTCTTCTTTCTGGTAGCTCAGATGACAGCTGTGTGGAATCCTGCTTGGTCTAGGCTTGGTTTGTATAAACGACACACCATCTCAGGAACTCATCGTGGAAGACCAGGGTTAATTCCTCCCAAGGGTAATACTCTCCTGACCTAATTACTTTGTATAAATCTGGTCTCTTAAAGACACCATCAACCTGAGCTTTGGGACAAAGCTTCCAAACTGTATTTATCCCGTACTGCAGACTTCCTGTGGTTTGCATGCTGTTATCTGTTGGCGGTTTCCTCTGTACGCCATGACTTTACACATGCTGTTCATGGTAGGCCAGTGGTGCGCTTCTGTGTGACGCCCTCACTCCGTCCATTTCCTAGGATATAGAGCAAATACAGAGAGTCACGATCATCCTCACTACTCCAGTAGCTTACAGTCTATTAGAAGGCCAGTGCCTTCCTGGTGGCATTCTGGTCATGTCAGCTATCATGGTTCTTGAGTATCCGTGACTGCCTTGTGCACACATCTTGTCATGTATTAGGAAGCACTCTACTTTAACAGTAACTTTATCAATAAGGTCACATCTTCATATATGAAGAGGGGAATTATTCTCATTATAGAAGTAGCCCTTTTCCATTGCATTAGCAAAACAAATGAGAGAGAGAGAGAGAATGAATCTACAATTTGGGTAGATTTGGGTGCTGTTTGGGTGCTGATTCATTCCTTGCTTTTCAGATTGTTTTGAGTTCTTGAGTTTGGATGGGAAGAGTACTCAGTATTTCCATGTCTTTCCAATGGACGTGTGCATTTGAGATATGTGGTGTGCACTAGTTAGAGGTTTCCTTGAACACAGCAGTTTTGTATGTTCCCAAGGATGTCCGTGGTATTGATTTTCCAGTCCTTTTCTTAATCTGTGATAAATTAGGCATTTGTTTATTTAGGTTACTTCTAGATTAAAAAGTTGCATTGTAAACTGGGCATGGTAGCACACACTTTAATCCAGCACTTGAGAGCACTGTGAGGCAGAGGCCAATACGAGTGCATCTCTTAGTTTGAGAACATCCTGGCTAGCCAAGGTTACAGTGAGGCCCCGTCTCAGAAGCCAAAACAAGCACCCTCAACCCAAAAGCTGCATGAATACTACTACATGAAGCATTTTTACTTTTCCTCATATTTAGTTTTTTTGGGGGGACCCAGAAATGCAGTTATTAAATTAACTATCACAAGCATAGATAAGATGGGCATGATGTTTTTTGCCTGTAATCCAGCAGTTAAAGGTGGAAGCAGGAGGCTTGCCATGAGTTCAAGGCCATTTTTGGTTACAAACCTTTCTCCAATTTCTAGAAGCCATAAATAAATTAAATATAAAATTTCTCCTCTCAAAATCTCCTTATGGTATCTCTGGCCACATTGTTACTATAATGAAGCATCTTTGGTTATATAATAGCTTTAAAATGTGTGTTACCTTTTTGGGAATATTATCTATTTTTATCATTTATTTTTTTACCTTGTTTTTAAGGGGTTCTATGAGGTACTTACGTGCCAAGGTCGATTTTTTTCCATCAAATATTGATGTGGGAATGATTTCTTACTAATAAAGAAACTGCCTTGGCCCATTTTATTGGATAGAAAATTAGGTAGGCGGAGTATACAGAAGAGAATTCTGGGAGAAGGAGGCTTGGTGGAAGAGTCGCCATGATGCTCCCACTCCAGACAGACGCAGGTTAAGATCCTCTCTGGTAAGCCAGCTCATGGGCTACACAGAATATTAGAAATGGGTTAGAACAATATGTAAGAGCTAGCCAATAAGAAACTGGACCTAGCCAGGCCAGGCAGTGTTTGAAAGAATACAGTTTCCGTGTAATTATTTCTGGGTATAAACTAGCCATGCGGGCGGCCGGGTGCCGGGGACGCAGCCCTGCCGCTCCTATTTCAACAGATGGCGCCCAGACGTGATGGGCTAAATCCACTTAAAAACCTGAGAGGGCTTAAAAAGGAGAGAGAGAGAATTTAAGACAGCTTTTTGCTGTTTCTGGGTTGCGTGCCGCAAAGAAATTGTCCTGACTCGGCAGCAGGAAAAAACTGGCTGTTTTAAAATGCCGGCTTTCTGGGCTGTGCCGCCATTGTGATCTCTGTCTGGCTCCGGCGGGAGACAGAGCTTATGAATGGAGCATTTGGATTAAAGTGCTACGATTTGTTTGATGGCAACTAGACTGCTGTGTGCCTAAAAGGGGGACATTGTGTGCCGCAGCTCAGAGGCACAAGCAGCTCCGCCATGCTAATGGTGCAATGTGCAAGGATCAGAGGCACGAGCGGCTCCGCCATGTTGGACTGGGCGGGGCCAGCATACAGTACCTGTTTTTGACCTAGGAATGTCACAGCTTAGATTCTTAAGCGCTTAGTGATTTAAAGGCGCAAAACAAAGTGCTCCTGGATAGTAAAAAAGTTACAGATTCACAATAAAACAGATTCAGACACTGTTGGATAAATGTACGTAGGCTTGGGAAAGAGAAGAAAAAGAATATAAAGAATAAAGTTAATGTCTTAAAAAGAAAAAGGGTAAAGTCTTTAAAGAGACAGAGTACAGAAGTACAGATAGTTATAGATTAAGAGAAATAAAGAAAAATAAGCCACGTAAAAATGGAAAATTCACAGAGAGTCTGGATTATGTACATTGTGTTTTCTTTAAAATTTTTGACTGTGAAGGAGCTAAGTACAGAGAGACATTTCATTATATGGGCTGCCAAGCTAAACCAAAATGGATTTCATGAGGGTATTATGATTTCAGAATTTGGGTCTAAGGATATGATGCTTTGGAGAGGGTCTTCTTTTGTTTTTGCAGAGGATGAGACCCTGTGGATTGCATCTATTCCGATTTGGTATGATAGACCACGCCCTCCTGAAAGGTTGCTGTGAACACCCTCAAAAAATTGCTTCGCTCAATTGCCAACTGAGATGAAACTAGCATACAGGTTATATCATGAACAACCTAATTAACGACGCCCCTATTCAGCAGGAAGCAGTTTGGAGAGAAAAAACTACGCCCATGTTCCCAAATATTGTTTATAAATGTTCTTTTACATTTAAAGGGGGATATGATATAGATATGAATAATTTGCATTGGTATGGATTTTAAGGTCAATTTTGTTATATGTATATGTATTTTTGATCTTGATTAAGGTATTGTGATTGTGTAGTTCATTTAAAAATGTAATGTATAATTAGGAAATATAGGTTGTTAATGGATAATCATCGCTAATAGTTAAGCTTGTAGTCATGTTAATTAGATTTTCTAGATATATAGAGATATATTTCAGTTAGATAGGCATTCTTCATATCTTTCAAAGACTGCAGAATATGGCATTTAAAATATTTTAATAACTTAGGACTTTTCATGACAAGGAGACACGTCTGCTCCTGGCAGCACCAGCTACTTCAAGAGGAAGATGGGCATCGAAGAGGATCCTTATGGAGTTGGATAGTCATTTGGGCAAGAAACTGCTCTTGCCTGGACTGTTGCATAAACTGGACACAGAGAACCCTCAGAGAGAGGACTGCTGAACTTGCCTAAAGGTGAGATGGTCTTTCGGGGTTCCTGATTCATGAAAGAGTCTGCGAGACATTCTGCAGGACACAGCAGAAAATGACTGAACTGTCTTTGAAATTTCCTGCTTCATGGAAATGTATCTGGATACCATGGGCCTGTAGGCCGAAGATGGATGCCCCAACGGTACCAAAGAACTTTGGGTGACTGTCCAGGCAGCGAGATGTCTCTGTCATTTCTAGAGTTTTCTTATTTCTTGTTTACTTAGGTAATATTATATCCTTCTGGAGTCTTTGATGGAGTTGAAGAATGAATAGTTATAGTTTTCCTTAGTTATGGTAAGAGATAAAATAGATATAAATATTGTAACTGTAATTCTTACTTGATAACTGTTTTGTTATATGTAATTTTACTATGCTAAAGTTAAAGCCTTTCTTTTTTGTTTAAACGGAAAAAGGGGAAATGATGTGGGAATGATTTCTTACTAATAAAGAAACTGCCTTGGCCCATTTTATTGGATAGAAAATTAGGTAGGCGGAGTATACAGAAGAGAATTCTGGGAGAAAGAAGGTTAGAGGAGGAGTCGCCATGATGCTCCCACTCCAGACAGACGCAGGTTAAGATCCTCTCTGGTAAGCCAGCTCATGGGCTACACAGAATATTAGAAATGGGTTAGAACAATATGTAAGAGCTAGCCAATAAGAAACTGGACCTAGCCAGGCCAGACAATGTTTAAAAGAATACAGTTTCCGTGTAATTATTTCTGGGTATAAACTAGCCATGCGGGCGGCCGGGTGCCGGGGACGCAGCCTCGCCGCTCCTATTTCAACAAAATATGTTTTAAACTTTTAAAACATTCTTTTGTTTAACAGTTTTATAGTCAATCTTGGGAATTTTTCTTTTCTTTCTTTTTGTTTTTGTTCTTGTTTTTTGAGACAGAGTTTTTCTGTGTAGCCCTGATTGTCCTGGAAGCTATTCTGTATACCAGGCTGGTCTGGAACTCCAGAGATCCACCTGCCTCTGCTTTCTAAATCCTAGGATTGAAAGTCTGTGTCAGCACCACCTGGCTAGTTATTTTTCTTATTAGGGTTTGTTTGGTTGGTTGGTTGGTTTTTGCCACACCCCACATAGGAAAATACTGGCAGTTTGATCATTATTGTCTTGTAAATTTTCAGGATTGTGTCTCTAATTCTCAGGATTAAAGACAAATCAAAATTAGTTGACCTTATTCAGAAGGAATGTTATTTTCTAGGTCATGACAAAGTATCTTATTTCAAATATGTATATTAATGTATAAAAGCATAAATGACAGCTTCTTCCTTATCCTGGGATGTTGTAGATTGTTTTGCCTTTAGTCACTCTTGTTTTGATTAGAGAAATGATTTCATGACCCTTCTATGAGTCCGTTTCTTTCTCTTTTCTCAATGTAGGGAATAAAGTATAGCTGTGTCTACTGATGCGGACTGCAGACATATGGTGAGGAAAACAAGCTTGTAAATAGTACCAGAATACCAAGGCTACGAAAATCCTCTTCCATATGTTCATGAATCTGTAAAATTATGTGACTGGAGGTCACTTATCCCAACAATGGGGGAGAGAGCCAGGAGTCCAGATAGTGATCAAGAGAGAAAGGCTGGCAAACACAGTTACTCTCGCTATTCGTCTGACTTTGGGTCCTCACCACAGTCTTCTGGCCATTCATCACCTGTCAGTCCACCGCCTTGTCCAGCTACTAAGGGGAAGAGTCCCAAAAGACAGTTTTCAGACAACCCAGGATATCACCAAGGTAAGTGTCTGCTGTGAATGTTCCCAGGCACCGGGACCTCCGGGGCAGCACGGCAAACCCCGTGTGAATGAAGCTTTTCTCCTGAGGTGTATGTTGCTCTGTGCAGGAGTGGGCTGATCGCCCTTTCACGTGGGCTTTGTTTCCATAACTGTTGCATTGCTTACATGTATACATTGTTATATAGTAACATTTTTATGTCTGAATCACACAGAGGAATGTTCCAGAAGATTGCTCATTTTTCCTCTTTCTTGTGATCTCAGAGGCACTTACTGTAAAGGCAAAACATGCAAAACAATTGTGCCTTCTGTGTCGTTTTTTACTGTCACTGAAAGCAGGGACTAAACTGGTCATGAGGCATTTTCATTGACCACGCTGTTGACCTTAGGTGGTTAGCACAGTGCTCTCTGGAAACACGCAACTTAGGCTAGGGATGCCTTAGGACCCTGGATCACCGTTCAGTTTATTTGCCTTTCACTGACTCAAAGGAGACCAGATTATTATCAAACACAATTTTATTATTAGAATGTTACTACTCTGGAGCATGCAGAGCTACGCACTGTTATATAAATCTCTTCATTGAGTGTCATATATCAATCTGTTGATTTCATTGGCTGAGCAATAAAGAAACTGCTGGCCCTGATAGGTTAAAAGATAGGTGGGTGGAATAAACAGAATAGGATGCTGGGCGGAAGAGGAAGTGAGGTCAGACTCTGTGCTGCTTCCAGAGGGACCGGACAGCCGCCATGCTCTGCTCTCCCAGGCAGCTGCAACCCACGATGGACTTAGGCTAGAATCTTCCCGGTAGGCGCACCTTGGGGTGCTTACACAGATGATTAGAAATGGGCTAGTCCAGGTGCAAGAATTAGCCTGTAAGGGCTAGAGTTCATGGGCCAAGCAGTTCTTAAATGAATACAGTTTGTGTGTTGTTATTTCGGGCATGAGCTAGCCAAGCGGCCGGGGTGTTGGGGACGCAGCCCCGCCGCCGCTTCTATTTCAACAAGGAAAATCCCACTTCATGGAGCAACAGAATGCACAAAGTCTCTAGTCTATAAAAGTGGCATAGAACAATACGTTATGTCAGGCGAGGTAATCATGACACATTGATCCATGTACCAAGTTATGACAACACTGCAGATTATTGAGACTTGCTGCTGCCAGCTAGGGAGCAGGAAGTTGGGGGCTGAGAAGAAAACAGAAACCATATAATGAAATACTCACATCTGATGGTAACAGACCATATTCATTATTTTTGTAGGTGACAGCTGTTGGACAGTTTAAGAAAGGGTGTAATTAAATTTGCATTAATAATTGCTTTCAAAAGTAACGTTTACACATTAAAAACTACAAAGAGGTGTTCTTAGCAATGGATAAAAGGGATTTGTTCCTCACGCCTGATGATGTGAGTTTGACTCAGGAACCATGGAGGAAGGAGAAACCCAACTCCATGAACTCCAACTCTGCCCTTTGATCTACAAATGTGCACATGTCCCCTGCAATATAATAATAATAATGAAGAAAATGGCAAAGAATGAGTATCTGCATGAGAGCGACTTTTTTATGCACCCAGACCAGTGTCTCAGGATGTCCATCTGTTGACCTCTGAGTGCTTCTCTTGTTTGAATGCCATTCCTTTTTGACTTCTTTTTGTTTCTTTTTTTTTTTCTCTTTCTACATATCATCTTGATTTTTAACTTTCCTCTGAATCTGGTTCTTACAATTAGCTGGGAGCATGGTCTCAAGTTTCTATATAACACACATCTCTTGTCAAGTTGAACCTTAGAAAATGCCTGGTATTCTTAAGGATAATTTACATATGTAGGGTATTGTTGGCAAGAAGTGTGTTAATTTTCTGTTTCTCTCCCGGAAACTCCCCATTAAGGGTTGGAACTGTGTGAGCCTTACCTTATTTGAGAAGATTGCTGAGAATCAGATCAGCGAAAAACAGTTCCAGCAGCAGTCAGAAAATCTCCCCTCTGGCTTGCCTGGCTTTCTGCTCTGTGATGCTTTCAATTGAAGTCTGAGGTCACTTTTCTACCCTAGTCCAAGCAACAGGACCCAATGAATTAATTTCCTGTCTTAGTTACTGTTCTATTCCTAAGGAGACACTATGACCACACAATCTTATAAAAGAAAACATATAATGGGGACTTGCTTCCAGAGGATTAGACAATGATTATCATGGCAGGGAGAGGTAAAGCACTAGAGACTGGGTCTGGTGACACACCTCCTCCCACAAGGCCACCCCTCCCTATCCTTCCCAAACAGTTCTGCTAACTGGGGACCAAGCTTTCAAAGATGTGAAGCCGTGGGGACAGTTTTGGTAAGACCACCACACTCCTGCTCCTGATACCAGCTGCTGCCATGGTTCCTGTTCTTTTACTGTGATAAGATAGCATGACCAAAGCAACTGTCATGGGAGAAAGCATTTGACTGGGGGCTTGCTTACAGTTTCAGAGGGTTAGCCTCTTATCATGGTAGGACTGTGGTGGAACTTAGGCAGGCATAGTGCTGGAGAAGTTAACAGAGAGCTTTACCTTCTGATCCATGGGCAGCAGGCAGAGAATGAGATGGCCTGGTCTGGGCTTTTGACTTGGAGGTAGTTTGTTTATTTTTGTATTTTAACCTCTAGATCCCTCTTTTAAAGAGTAGGTGTGTATATATATCCTGAGGCTTAAACTCAATAAATTTTAATGAAAACACTTTAAAAATTTTGAGAAATGTTGTAATTTAATGTGTATACTTTAAGAATTTTATGTGCTTTAAAATGACAATTATTTTATTTATATGTCTGTATGTCTTTGTGTATGCTTCTCTGTGTGTGTCTTGTGTGTATGTGTATGTGGAGGGTGGAGGATAACCTTGGCTGTCATTTCTCTAGCCCTATCTACTGTGGATTTTGAGACAGTAACTTCTGGATTTGTAGCTTGCCCAAGTAGACTAGACTGGCTGGCCTGTGTGAGCCACAGGGATCTTTCTGTTCTCACGCTCACCGTACTGGGATTTCAAGCTCACATCACCATACCTGACTTTATAGTGGCTAGCTTTTTCTATGTGGATTGTAGAGAGCAAACTTGGGTCCTTGTGCTTGTATGACAAACACTTTGTGGATTACCCCAAAACCTCCTAAGAGAAATGTATCAAGACTTTAAAGAAACCCTGGTATTTGATTTTTGTATAGTCCTGGAACTTGCTGTGTATCTCTTGAACTCAGAGATCCCAAATGCCTCTCAAATGCTGGTGTTAAAGGCACATGCCACTACACCTAGCCTGTAAAATCTTTTTTTGAGACAGGGTTTCTCTGTAGCTTTGGAAGCCTGTCCTGGAACTCACTCTGTAGACCAGGCTGGCCTCAAACTCAGAGAGAGCTTTGCCTCCCGAGTGCTAGGGTTAAAGGCTGTTGTTGCTGCACTTGTTCTGCATGGATGAATAGTAACGTGGGTGTGGCCTTCACTCACATTATCACCGTTTCGTTTTTAGCCCTTAGGAAAATTAGCCCTAAGGCTGTACCCAGCAAAAAGGGAACCCGAGTGGGATTTCGATCCCAAAGCCTCAACAGAGAGACGCTTCGGAGAGATCCGGATATCGTGACAAAGCGGGTCCTTTCTGCGAGGCTTCTGAAAATCAACGAGCTGCAGAACGAAGTGTCTGAACTGCAGGTTAAGCTATCCCAGCTGCTCAAAGAAAACAAGGCTTTGAAAAGTCTCCAGTTTCGTCAGGAGAAGGCGTTGAATAAGTTTGAAGATGCTGAGAGTGAAATCTCTCAGCTTATACAGCGTCATAACAATGAGATCACTGCGCTCAAGGAACGCCTGAGAAAATCTCAGGAGAAAGAACGGGCGACAGAGAAAAGGGTGAAAGACACAGAAGGCGAACTATTTAGGACCAAGTTTTCCTTACAGAAACTGAAAAAGATCTCCGAGGCTAGACACCTTCCAGAACGAGATGATCTGGCCAAGAAACTGGTTACGGCCGAGTTAAAATTGGATGACACTGAGAGAAAAATTAAGGTAAAATTGTCCGCCTCCATGCTGTTCTGTGGTTGGTGCTCACGGGACATTTGGGGGGCCCTGATTAAGCAGCCCGTTGCACTTTGGCCTTGTCTTAGACCTGAAAGTGAATTTTAATACTATTTTTCTGAGCTAGAAATCAAAGACAGAGCGAGGCTGGTGGTACAGGCTTTTAGCCCTAACATTCAAAGTGCCAGGGTATCTTGGTGAGTGTGAGACCAGCCTGGCCTACTTTCTAGACCAGCCAGTGCTTCCTAGTGATACTCTTGTCTCAAACAACAACAAAACCACAAAAGAAGTTAAGGGCAATTAAGAATGCATATATTCCAGGCTTAGTCTGTAGTGGACTTGTTCCGCAAACATGAGGACCCGAGTTCCACCCCAAGACTTATATAAAAATGGCTGGGTGTAGGAGGTGGCCTGTGCACGTGTAATTTCAGTACAGGGAGGGGAGCTGCAGATAGGCAAGTCCATGGGGCTCACCGAGCAGCTAGCCTGGTCTACTTGGTGAGACCCAGGTACCAGTGAAAGACCAAGGTGGACCGCTGCTAGGAGCAAAACCCAGGGTTGTTCTCTGGCCTCCAAACATACACGTACGTGTATGCATACCTTCATTTACACAAAGGATGCCATATTGAAGAGCTAGATAGCAAGGCTTGTATACATTATTGGTAAGCCATATGCTGATGGAGAAATTGGAATCTTAGTAATTTCTGGAAACATTGTGTCTGGCTGTTTGTCTTTGATGTGTAGTTACCTACCCTGTACAAAACTTCCCTTCCCACGAAACTAGAAATTCACGAGAGAGGAGAACGATCATAAAGGGGTAAAAAGAAGGTCTTAGGATATCATGATAAGGAAGCAAAGCAGGAAGAGGACTGTCAGGGGGTAAAGAATCACATGGCTTAAGAGACATGGGAGACAGTGGAGTAGGGGAGCAAATGAGAAGGAAGTAGGGTGGCCCATAAATGAAATGGGTTTAGGGAACCTGTTTGGGGCCCCTTATATAAGAAACCTGCATGAACAGCAGTCTGTGTGAGGGTGGGGTGAGGCAGAGAGAGGCCTGATGTGGTGGCATGTGCTTGTAATCTGGGCATTGGGGAAACTGAGAAAGAACTGTGAGTTCAAAGCCAGCCTTGACTATATAACAAGACTCTCTCTCTGGAAAATAAGGGTACTGGCTTCTTTCTATTTTGAGGTCATTGTAGATGCAGATGCATTAATAAGACAATGACACAGAAAGATCCTATATTCTCTTTACCTGGTTTTTCCCCATATTTTATAATCGTCACATAATATTAGGGAGTTGGTTCTAATACAGTGAAACGATCCAGCAAACTCCTCAGCTTTCCCAGTTTTTTATCTGTGCTCATGTGTATTGTGATATACTGTTTAATTACATGCATGGCTTTTGTGACCATGATCCTTCCCTCTCTAACCTGAGACATTCTCTGATGGGCATCTCTCTAATTCTGTAATTTCAAAGATGCTGTGTAACTAGAGTTGCTTACTGTATAGGCTTAATGTTGACATACATCACTTACAAGCTAATGGCAGTTGTTGAATGAATCAACAGCTTTTGATTTCAGAGTAGTACTTGGCAGTGTGGTCACAGAGGATCATGGTATAGCCACTTGGAGGATATTACCCTATAGTTTTTGTACTAGCAGGTAAAGCTGCTGAGACCATTCATGTATAGAATTTCTGTATGGACGTGACTTTTGTTTCTTTGGGATGTTTCTTTTGAGGAATCAGTGACAAAAATGTGTATATTTAAGGTGTATAGCTCAAAGTTTTATAAATACTTATGTTTTATATTTTACAGTTAAACCTGTGGTTCATTTTGAGTTTTTTCCCCCCCAAGTATTGGGTCTCAGTTACTCAGGTGCCATGAGAAAAGGTGACTCTTCCTCCATCACATCAAGTTGCTTGGACATCTTTTTGAAAAAAATCAGTTGGACATATTTTTTGAGGGCTTCTTTCTAGCTGTCTAATCTGTCTTGCTGACTTAAGTCTCTCCTGTTCCCAAATACTCTTGATCCTTAACATAGAGTGACAGTGGTTTCTTACAAGCTTCTGAAATTCTTTTTAATCTGCATTAGATCTTCTGCCTGTTTTAAAAGATTTAGTTTATTTTTACATGCGTATTATCTGATTTGGATGCTGGGAACCCAACTCGGGTTTTTTTGGAAGAGCAGCAAGCCCTTTTAACTGCTAAACCATCACTCCAGGCCCTCCATGTGTTATTAAAAGGCGTGTGTGTGTGTGTGTGTGTGTGTGTGTGTGTGTAAACACATCCTAGGGCATTGATAAGAACTGCTTTATGCACAGGTCAGTTTGCAATGACTGCCACCTTACCTGTTGTTTCCTGACCAAATGCACTGTGTCTCCAGTCATTTGACTCATCTTTGACTTCTCAGTAGTCTCCGGTTTCTTCTCAGATCACTTCTAAAGTTATTTTCTTGAATTTCGGAGCTTGTTGCTGTTGTAAAAAAAACGGAGTTTCAATTGAATGTTTTATGCACAGAAAGGAGCTACGCGGTATTAGAAATAACCCAGGTTCAGGATAGTTGAGGTACAAGCTCCGAGTCTCCAAGTCTGAGAGCTGAACCAAGCTGCTTCTGTGTAATTGAAATTGTGTTGGGTCAGTGTTTGATATGCAGTCAGGGACCTTCTAGTGCTACTTTGGTAATGTCACATCTGCTGCCACACCTTACTAGCTCTCTTCTGAGTGGTGAAGCCCCTCAGGAGAATTATTCTCACCTTTTAGTTTATTCTTTATCCTTCCCAACACTTTTGACATCCAATTCAGTATATATAATTATTTCCTTCATAATCTCACTAATCACAGAACTTAAACTATTTGCTGGTGGGTTTTTAATTTGGTTATGAGTGAAGCTTTTGTTTTTATGTCTCGTTTAGCTTGTTAAGGTTTGCCTGATCCACTCTAACTTCATTCCCCCCACCCCAGATCAGCTGGTGATGGTTAAAGGTCTGTAATTGCTCAGGAGTCGGTGAAGAGCTTAATTGTGATGTTGCCTTTTGCAAACTCACTAAAACCCAAGGGCGGCGGCCTGGCTGTGCCTGGCAATTGTTGTCCCCTCCCTGCAGTGTTCCAGCAGTTGAGCACTGTCCCCTAAGGCTGACTGGCTGTGTGGTGCAGAGGACATTTCGCTTGTTTGTTTTAGTGTTTTTTTTTTTAATATGTGTTATCTGTGCTTGAACCAAATTTGTACCTTCAAAACAAAGATTTTATATCTTTCAGCTTGTATTACTTGACTTTCTTAAATTTTACTTTAAATGAGTTTTATTATGTATATTTAACTTACAAAACATGATACATATACTAAAATGGTTATCATAATAAAACAAAATATCCATCATCTCAAGCAGTTGCATTATTTCTTCTCTGTGATCTGAGCAGTTAACATGTATTCATTTAATTAAAATCTTGCACATATTACACTGATTAACCTGGTTTTCATATTGTATATCACACCTTTGACACTTTTGAGATTATTTTTATATTCATTTTCTAATTTTTGAGATTTGCACACATGAGCACTGTATTTATATCATTTATTCCACATGCTCTCTTCCCTCCGACTCTTCCCGTGTGCCCCCTTCCATGCCCTCTCAACTGCACGGCTTCTTTAACTATTACTGTTATGTAACTACAACCTGCAGAGTCCATTTGTCTTGCTCATACATATGTATGTTTAGGGATGCCCATTTGGAATTGGATAATCCATCGGGGGCTCATCCCTCTCTCAGAGGCACTAATTGCTTGCAGCTCTTCATCAAGGGATTTCCCACACCCGTGTTAGTATGTCAGCTGGTACTGTCATTCTTTGGGTCTTGTTTAGGAGACCATATAGTTTCATATTTCATGGGTGCAACTCCCTGTCATATAGAATACAGAATCTTGGAGCAGATGACCTGGTCCATAGTGTATATATACCACATTTTTATTATCCATTTGTCACTTTTAGGACATTTAGGTTGTTTCCATTTCCTAGCTATTGAGAATAGAGCAGCAGTGAATGGGCATATGCTGAGCAGTGGTATAGCTGGGTCACATGGAGGATTTAACTTTTTGAGGGATTTCAATGCTGATTTCAATAATGATTGGACCAGTTTGCAAGATCAACAGCAAGGAATGAGTGTTCTCATTCTCTCCAGCATTGACTGTCATTTTGTTGTTGTTGTTGATTTTAGACATTCTTTCTGGGGTAAGTTGGAACCTCAAAAATCTTAAAAAAAATGTTTTAATTTGCATTTCTCTAATTTCTAGGGATAATTATGTTAGTTTTATTTCTTCTTTTGAGAACTCTCTGTTCAGATTCCTTAAACCATTTCTCAATTGGGTCTTTTGTTTTCTTAACTCTGTTTTTGGTTTCTTTGATATTCTAAATATTAGGTTTTTGTCAGATATGTAGATGATAAAGATTTTCTCCCACTTGACGAACTTCCTTTTCACTTGGTTGATTGTTTCCTTTCCTATACAGAAGCTTTTTAATTTTATAGGTCCCACTTGTCAGTAGTTGGCCTTATTCCTGAGCAAATGGAGTCCTGTCCAGAAAGTTTTCCTTAGATCTGTATGTTGTAAGTTAGCCTGTCTTTTCTTCCAGCAGTTCACCATTTCTGGTTTCACATTGAGGTCCTTGATCCGTTTGGAGTTAATTTTTATGCAGGGTGATAAGGGTCTGGTTTCATTCTTCTACATAAGGACATCAGGTTCCTCAGCATCATTTGTTGAAGATGGTATCTTTTATCCAGTGTGTGTTTTTTTGGCATCAAATGCGAGGTGGTTGTAGTTACATGTACTCATCTTTGGATCTCCTGCTTTGCTCCTTTAATCTCCATGTCTGTTTTTGGGCCAGTGCCATGCCATTTTTGTCACTATAGCTCTGTAACATAGTTTGAACCTCCAGCATCATTTCTTTTCTCAGAATTGCTTTGGTTTTCTAGGTCTTTTGTGGTTCTGTGTGAACTTAAGG